ACCACCTCCACTGCATGAGCGTGCCTTATTAGCCATTAAATTATGCAGAATTCGAGCTTTCAGCACAGGATACTTTCTAACTATGAGAAATATCTAGCACCGGCATACAGCGCCATTAAACTCACCTAACGTTTGACACAAGTCTATCGTACTTATGCATCAGTATTATTCATTTTTCCCATCTCTGTAAAAAGAATGAAACGTGTGTTATATTTATAGACACTAGAAAGGAATGTTCTTCAATCAGCAATATAATAAACAGCCAAAAGGACACTCTGTAAGATGGAAATCCTCATATATGAGCATCTAAGCATGTTGATTAATGGAGAGCATAGCTTGTACTTTGTAGCCATTAAGCAGTCTAGTATTTTTAATGCAACATTGCATGAATAGGCCATCATGGACATCCTGAGAGCGAGAGAGGAACATATGTATAAGATTCTTGTGTGGATAGGACTCCAAGGGTCAAACTGACTGAACACAATATTTCCTTTAGTGTGTGTCAGCATGGATCTCTGGTCTCTTTGAGGGAGACATGGCACAACACGTCAAGTAACTCAAGCATCAAATATTTTTGTGATAAGCATGTTAATGCCATTCAACAGCTATGATAGTCTGTCATTCTATGACCACCACATATATACGTTGGAGTTTTTTTTTTAAATACAAAGATAACTGTAGAAAATTATTATAAGACATAACGTAAGACAGAAGAAGTTACTACTCTACAATTTTAAGAAATACAGGTACAATAAGATACAGCTTTTTTTAATGAAGAAATCTTATGTGTGCCCAGCTGTAGATTACTGCATAATAATAATAATAATAATAATAATAATATATAATAATACAAATATATTTTATTTTCGCTGTAATTTGTGCATGTACATATATACAGGGATGTCACTATAGGTTCATGGATAGAGGGCTAAGCCTGTACTGGGGGGCGTCTGGGTGTAAGGTACCCAAATATTTTTTTTAATGGCCCCAAAATGTTTACAATGCACTTTTAGAGTAGCAACAACCAGAAAATGTGAAATACTGGATATTTAGTTGAATATTACTTACAGACAGACTGAGCATTTACAAAGCATCTACAGTGGACCATCCAGATAAAGTGTTACCTAGATTTTGAATAAGGTTTAATGTTTATTTTAGTCAGCTTTTAGCCAAAATTCAGTCTTCAGCTCGGTTACCAGTTACTTTGTAGTGCATAAACAGAGCCCCTCCCCCAGGTCTGACATAACTGGCTTACAACAAATGAGGTCTGACAGGATTGGCTGAACGTTGCGTTGTCAAGCTCTCGTTGTACAGCAGAGGCAGTGCTGCATTACAGCAGCAGCAGCAGCGCCTTCATACATGTATATACATATAGTGGTTGCTGTTGGATAAAACCTTATATCTCCAATATATTTATTTGAAGTAATTTTGGGGTATTTCTATTGTTCTATCATTCAATTTTCATACAATGTAATGGGGAGCTGATATTTATATAATGTCATAAAACAAAAAATGCTGAAAATGTAGATACATTTTCAAGACAATTTTATTAATGCCAAAACATTATGACCACATGCCTAAAATGCTGTTGGTCCCCGGTGTGCCACCAAAACAGCTCCCAACTCACTGAGGCATGGACTCTACAAGACACCAAGACTTTAGCAGCAGATGCTTCAAGTCCTGCAAGTTGTGAGGTGGGTGGATCAGAATTCTTATTCAAGCACATCCCACAGGTGCTTGATCAGATTGAGTTTTAATGTATTTAAAGGCCAGGAGAATACCCCTGCCATGGAGGGGTGTACCTGGTCCGCAATGATGTTTAGGTAGTGGCACATGTCAAGTTGACATCCACATGAATGCCCAGACCAGAACATTGCCCAGAGCATGACACTCCCTCCACCGGCTTGTCTTTTTCCTACAGTGCATCCAGTTGCCATCACTTGAACAGTGCACGTGTGCCAGGCATGTGATGTAAATGAAAAGAGGACTGTTCAGACCAGCACCCTTCTTCCACTGCTTCAAGGTCCACTTCTAATGCTTGCGTGTCCTTTGTAGGCACTTTCAACAGTGGGGTTAGCATGGGCCCTTTTACAGGTTTACTCATCCCCTGTATGCAGCAGGGTGTGATGCACTGTGCATTGTGACACATTTCTCCTCTAACCATCCTTAAACGCTTCTGTTCCACAGTAGCCCTTCTCTCGGTTGTGACAAGATGGGATAGCCTTTATATATATGCATATATATGCGTGTGTGTTATGTCTTTGGCAAGGCCCTAATATGCAATGTCTTCCCTAGAAAAATCATCCATGGAATAATACTGGAGTTTAATGGCCCAGTGGCACGAACTGATGGACATTCTCTCTCTGTCTCTTTCTCTCTCCCTACATGATCCAACTCACTGACCTATACAGTCCTCAGCTGTCAACCTCACAAAGGGGTTAATCACCCCAGAGGCTCTGCATTATTCCAGAGAGGGTGAGTGAGAGAGATAGAGAGAGAATGACTCCATCCCTCTCTCTCCCCCTATGGGACCACACAGCTGCACTCATTCATTTATCCCTGTCTTGGATCGGCTCCCTCCATCCGGTTCCTTTCACGGAGTTAACGCGTCACAAGTGGCTGAGTGGCAGGGCCATGTGCTGGGCTGGAGGGTGAGCGCTGTCCCCCTGCCTTCTCTCTGCACCAGCTGAGCTTCAGGTGAGAGGGGCAAAACAGAGGCTTCCATATGCAGAAACATCTCTAAGACATATACATGCATACGCTCTAAGCATGTGTCGAAAGGAAACTGGATGAGCGTCTGCTTGAGACATGGTCACGTATTTGGATGTACGTAGGCAGTTGTGCATATAGTTCATGATCTTAAGGTATAGGTTAAAGGAAAGCTGAAGAGGGGCTGTACAGTATGGACAAAATAGTAGTAATGCAATAGAATATAATGTAAAAACATACAAATTCATTCCGAGATTATGGAAATGTGCTTGTAAACTGAAGGGAGGGAAAAGACTCGGGTAACTGAATGCATCTCAAAAGGCATGAGGCCCAGGATTTCTTGATTAACCAGCTAACTTTAAGCTTAGTTTGATTTAACCCTGAATTTTCTGTCACACATTGATGGATCACTGCATCACTGTTTACAGGGATTCATCACCATGGCAACTGCAACATGCTGCACATCTAACCTTTTCCAGAGTGTGCTAAGCTTGAGATTTCAGATCACAAACAGCTTTTGGACCAATCAGGGCCAAGCTTCTGACCAATCAGGAAAAGGCTTCTGACAAAGGCAACCCCCTCCGGTCCTTTCAGGTCACTTTATTTTATCCTCGTGATGTTTGTGGTGTCAATCACACAAAAATACAGCTTTTCAGCAGAGGAAACAATGAGCCTCATTCACTAATATCTTCCTAAGATTGTTCTTGAATTTGTACTTGAGAAAGGTCCTAAGAAAAAGTGAGAAAAGGAAAAAATGTGCGAAGATGCTGTTCTTACCTAAGAACAAATCCCAAATAAGAAAACATTGGCGAATGTCAGAATGCGAAAACTGTGTAAATGGGTTTTAAGACATTCATCTCAAGAATAGTTGGTGAATGAGGCCCAAAGATATTAAGATTATAAAGCAATTGTTACTACAGTTATTACTAACCCGGTGACAGCAGCGACAGCAATGCTTTTCACTGCTATAAAATGTTTACTTGGTTTAACGTACTCTGCAATGAAAACATACCTTCAAAGATACAACAATGGTTTTAAGATCCAACTATGTACCTTATACACATTTTTAAAATTTTTGTTTACCTTTTCATAAACTCATGTTTTAACAAGAGGCAAGAGGGTGTGGTGTCAATATAACTTAAGAAATATAATTACAATAAGAATATCATATTATTATGTCCTCCTACTAAAGATATTGAAGATGTACCCTTGAGGCAGGGGTCAACAACCCAAATGTTAAGAAGAGCCATTTTGTCCATTCAATAAAAATCAAACCACCTTGGAAGCCACAACATTTATGTCCATTTTGCCATCTTGGCTGTAAATATGTCTCTGTATGTGCTAAAGTGCTAGTATCAGCTAAAAACAAAAACGCAAATTTATTTTGCTCTGCATCTCTGGCAGGAAACATTTCCTCAAAAGTAGAATATTTTCTTACAAAATGTCTCTTAATGTTTGACTTTTTACAAGGCTGAAGTCATCTTCTCATTCGCCAGCTTCTTGTTCGAATTCTCCCGTTCCACCTTAAATGGTGCCTGAAGTGCCAGAATGTAACTGCTGCACAAGTTTAAGGTGGAACGGAAAAATTCAAACAAGAGGCTGGCGAATGAGAAGCTGACTTCAGCTTCGAACTTTTTAGTATCAGAAAACCAGCTGAGTGCTTATAAATGCAAACAAGTCTGTTCGTCTCCACATATTCCATGTATGTCTTAAATCTTTCTCTTTGCCATTTCATTAGCTACTAGCTAGGCAAGACTGTTGCCTGTGCAGCTATGTGACCAGCAGTCTGCACGCCAGCCTTCAGGGTTGGTGAATTAGCTACATTAACTCTTATGTTTAAGACCATTTATTGTTAAAATTGTTAGAACGATCAGCAGAGCTTTATTTTACTGCAAAGGATGATTATTTTATTTTTACCTAAAAGTCTAATCCTGCTTTGGAGCCGCAACAGGGCAGTAAAAGGGCTGCATGTGGCTCCAGAACTGCCCCTGTCTTGAGGGTACCACCCCAATGACAAGACAGTGACCACCCCAGTGATAGTCTAGTACTTTTCTCTGAGAGTGTAGTATGATTTATTTTTGCTTTATTTTTGCTTCTTTGGACACTTGGACTGCACAGTATGGATGAAATACCAGAAGAGTAATGGTGATATGCCTTTGAATACATTCAAAGCAATCTGGTGAACCAATAATGTGACCTGGTTAAAGAATGACCTGATTTTAACCAAAACAATTGACTTCTTTTAGCTTGCATATTTAAGGCATGTATGTGTTGACGAAGGGAATTTTTACCTTATCACTCTCCGAGTACGGGTTGTTAAGCACTGTAGGCATGATGTCCTTCCTCCAGAGGTCATCGAACACTCTGTCGTTATCGGCGGCCAGCTGGGTATTACCGCCTATTCCCACACCAAGGTCTCTGAAAGTCACAAACACTTCAGATCACCACTCAACATCTGTCTACAGAAAGCAGCCACACACCACCAAAACACAAGATCACATCTCCCTTATCTCTTTCTTTCTCTTCACTAGTTACTGACAAAGTCTACATGCAGGTTATACACAACGTCTAACCTTAATTTCAGTAAGAAAGTAACATTAAAGCAGCAAGCTGTCTTTTTGAAGTTGTAAAGGCATGGGTACATTTTCTGTTGAAGCTCATCTTTCTTACCTCATTATGAGCCGTACACAAGGGTTTTATTCCTTTGTTAACAAGCCACAGTAATAGCAAAGTAATTGGAGCTTTGAAATGTGTTTGTTCAGGTTATTGACTACTGGTTGTTGCATTAAAAACCCTGTTCGTTAAAACTGAGTTGAGGAAAAAACTTGAAAACCATTTCAGCTTGAGTCATTAAATTGCTCTAAAACTGGGGCCTATATGACATACAGGTATATGGCATGTAGCCACAAAGAAACCACTAGGATTTTCATGTACCCACTTAAAATGTCAATTGAATATTAATAGAAAAAAAAGCATACTACACGAAAAACATTCAGGAACAGTGAAATTACCCTAACATTAATGGATATTTGTGCCTAAATAAGTGGTTTAGTTTTAGTCTTGCTAATCATAGCTAGTGTCCACTACTTCAGCCTAGAGTTCAACACCAAATTACACCATGAATATAATGTTAATAGGTGTTTATGTGTTTAGCTAAGTTAGCCACTAGCTAGAGAAATCTTTCTACCTATAACTGGGTCAGTTAGCATGCACACTACTTCAGTCTAGACTACAACACTGAATTAGCTAACTTACCTAACTAAGCCTTTTATTTATATTGCTGTGTGCTAGGCTAGTCTTGCTAACTGTAACTGGCTGCACTAGCACTCACCACCTCAGTTTCGACCACACTGAATTATATAAATATAATGCTGCTGAGTTCATGTGCCTAGCTAAGTTAGTTGCTATGTGCTAGCTAAGCTGGTCTTGCTAATTTAGATCAGATTAGCTATTCTCAGTATACCACTAGTTAAACCTGGATTACACCACTTTAAAACCAGACTAGCAACTATAAGGAGTGGTATAATCTGTATATATGCTCTCTGTCTTTTATTCTATCACTATTATCTCTATTTTTGAAGTATCATTAACTCACCATTCACAGAAATACAGAAGATAAATTCACAATGTTACTGTCAACACTTATTTAGAGTGGTCTACTCTAAGTTCATGTTGTAAATAGTAAAAATAACAGTCTGCCAATGTAGCCTTGAATGAAGGCGAGATACAGCAAGTCACTGTGTACACAAACACTTTCACTATAAATACTTCACACTTTCCTTCCCAGGGTTGCACTGCATGATGGGAATCGTAGTGGCACATACACCACAAATGTGATATGAGTGACTAAATGTGTGTGTGATGTCGGAGTGGTTTGTGATTGAGATGTGTGACGAACGCTTTAGTGAGTCTTCTTCTTAGACCCACTGAACACTCTGCCAGGATTTCTGCTGAAGGAAGCTAATCTAAACATGACCCTAGAATCAAAAAAAAAATCAGCAGCAGAGCTACATTAACCCTTAGAGGTCACAGTTATAGGCAGCCATGACAAAATACCATGGATTTAATGTGTATTATTTATCACTAGGCTTGTCACAAATATTACATAATCACCTGATCGCAATTATGTCAGCTGATTGCAATTATTTTCCATGGTTGTAAGCATTTACAATCAAATGTATACATCACAGGAAACTGAATGTCAACTGGGTGCATTTTCATCATGCGATGCGTAGGCCTGTGATAATTACTACATAATCACTAGATTAATAATCTCAGATATTTGATCTGATTGCAATTATTTAAGATGGCTTCCGTTATTTTCCTTAGTAGTTACCTTTCGCATGGCGAATGGTGTTATAGCATCTTTATTGTGTAGCGATACGTGATGTTTCTTTATTTGTTGTTTGTTAATAACACCTTTTGAGGGTGGCGGTGAGTAATGTTTGTTTATTTGGTGTTTGTTAATAACACCTTTAAAAACACACATTTTTAATATTTTTGACATTTAACAATTCAGAAAAGTCAGAAAAGCAGACTTAAATACCATGATAATGAATGTAAATTGAATGTAAATGTAATTAAGAACATCCATCCATCCATCCATCCATCATCTAAACCGCTTATCCTTCTGGGTCACGGTGGGGTGCTGGAGCCTATCCCAGCTGTCATTAGGCGGAAGGCAGGATACACCCTGGACAGGTCGCCAGTCCATCGCAGGGCAGTAATTAAGAACAGATTTCATTAATTAAATATTACATAATGTAAAGCAAAGTAGTTTGGGACAGTAATATTTCTGTAAACTTGTGTATGTGTAAATAATAATGCAAATCAAATGTGAATGTTATTCATTATGTAACTGTGCATTTAATTATGTAATTACATCACTGCATTACATTAATACAGTAAAATGCCAGTAAAGACCTTTCATGAATTTCCTGAATTCCATTGAGAAATGAAATCAAGAGGCTGCAGTAGATGTCAGGACTGTTTGTCTAGCTCAGTATATTTGGCATTTAGTCCTCATGGCAGTAGCAGCCCACTGTATAAAGGCTGAATGAGTGTGTGGAGTGTGTGGAGTGTGGAGAGTGCTGGGTGTAGCTGATAATGCATTGTAAATGTAAACTGTAAGCGCTGTTGTCATTGTGGATGTGCATTTAACAAGCAACGCGCTTCAGTCCACAGACGACACGTGAAACTTGAATAAACACATAACCCAACAACAGAGGCGTGCACTAAGCTGAGGCACAGCTTTTATACTCACACCTCCCACACGCACACACTGTTTATCTCTCTCTCTCTCTCTCTCTCTCTCTCTCTCTCTTTCTCTCCCTCTCTCTCTGTCTCTCTCCCTCTCTCTCTCTCTCTCTCTCTCTCGCTTTGCCTTTTCTCACTGTCTCCATCTCCTTCTCCCTCTCCCTCTGTCTATCCACTTCTCTCTCTCATTCTCTCTGTCTATCCCTAACTCTCATTGTCTCTGCATCTCTTTCTCTTGTCTCTGCCTATCCCCTTGCTTTCTTTCTCTCTCGCCCTCTTTCTTTCTTTCTTTCTTTCTTTCTTTCTTTCTTTCTTTCTTTCTTTCTCAGTTTCCTTTTCTCAGTCTTGCTCCCTGTCTCCTCGTACCTCTCCCTCTTTCTATCCCCTTCTTTCTCACTCTTTCTCTCTCTCTCTCTCATCTCACTCTCATTCTCTCTCTTCTCTTTGTCTTTTCTCTATCTCCTCTCTTTTACTCTCTTTTAATCTCCTTCTCTCTCTTCTGTCTATCCTACCTTTCTTTCTTTTTAACTTCCATTGTCCATTTCTGTAATTCTCTCTCTCTCTTTCTCTCTCTCTCTCTCTCTCTCTCTCTCTCTCTCTCCTTTCACACTCTCTCTCCTCTCCTCTGTAGTTGTGAATCTATGCTGGCTCCTCTCTCTCTCATGCTGTCAGTCCCTCATGCCTGAGTTCACTGAGTCTTGTTCTGCATATCGATCATGAGAGAACTCTCAAGCGTGGCTCAGTAAATGCAGTATGAAATCTTTCAGTGTCGTGTAATGAGAGGCCGCTGAACTCACGTACCAAACCGCTCTGAATAGACTGTGACGACTCAAACATGTATATTAATTCAGGCAATTTTCTAGCATTATAAACACAGTCTGGAATGGAACTCTCTCTCTAGTATCCATGTGAACAACTAGGCTTATAATGGGAAACTTTTTTTTCTCCCTTTTTTAAAATAAAAAAGTTTCAGAACATGCCGTTCACTCAGCAGTCGATATCTGGAAACTAAGATGTAAAAACAGCCTGTTTTGAATTAAAAAAAAAAAAAGTAATAATATGTTTTATGAATCATTACATCTCCTGCTCTGTGACTGTGGGTGTGACAGAATCAGTTACTGCGCCACATATCAGCGATCTGATTGGTCACAACTCAGGTCATTGGCATAAAGTTAATCTGGAACAGGGTCGGTAACCCAAATGTTAAAAAGAGCCATTTTGTCCTTTCAGCAAAAAATCGAACCACCTTGGGAGCCACATTTTATGCCCATTTTACCGTCTTGGCTGTAAATTTGTATCAATATGTGCTGATGCACTATTATAGGCTAAAAAATATAATGCAAACAAAAACACAGGCTTACATTGCTCTGCTTTAAGCTTTAGCTGAGCTATAGCCACTTTTCTTGCATCTCCAGTAAAACAGTTTCTTGTAAAATGTCTCTCACGTTCAGTTTTTACAAGGCTGAAGTTAGTTTCTCATTCGCCAGCTTCTTGTTCCCGTTCCACCTTAAATGAACAGGAAAATTTAAATGAGAAGCTGACGAACTAGAAACTGACTTCAGCTTCACAACTTTTTCTGGTAGTTTCTCATTGCACATTAAACGTTTCAGAAAACCAGCTGGAGTGATTATAAGTGCAACTAAGTCAATTTGTCTCCAAATTATCAATGTTCGTCTTAAATCTTCATCTTAGCTACTAGCTAGGTGAGACTGTTGTCTGCGTTGCTATGGTGATCACCAATCTTCAGGGTTAAAGGGTGAATTAGCAGATATACATTAACTCCAGGGTTTAAGGCCATTTATTGTTAGAATGATCAGCAGAGCTTTATTTTACTGCAAATTCTGGTGTGGATCCACAACAGGGCAGAAACAGAGTCGCATGTTGCCATCCCCTGGTCCAGAATAAGAGAGCAGAGAAGTGATGTGCATCAGTGGGTATATGTGTATATTGTCGACTCTCACCTTACTATACTGTTTGATGTAAAGTATCAAAAAAATTCAAATGGAACAGTCAAGTCATGCATATGCTGCTTAAAATTTCAGCACTTCCATCTTAAAACATGCTCCCGTGTCTCTGGTCATTTTCAAACATCATTTCAAGAGCTAGAAAAGGAGAGAACAAAATTCAAGAGCTAAGTAATTTTTTAAAGATGCTTATAATGTTTAAGGACACAAACATAAAGCAAAACATTAAAGCCATAAACTGACTACCTCACAGAGTGAAGTCCTCAGTGTCTGAGAAGTTCCTGCTGCATTTAAAATTAATTCTTGCAGAGCTTAACTGGCTTTAACTGTGTAGGACTTTATTAAGCACTGGTCATTTTACAAAGTCCAAAATGTTCTACCAATTTCTGTCTTTCTTTAGGAAAAAATGTTCAGGAGATTGTATTTGAAGCTCTTAAATCAATGACGTTCCTTTAATTCGGCATGTTGTCTTTCTTTAATCAGATGCTTTCAAACGAGACCTTTTAGTGAATAAATGGTTTGGTTCACCAAACACCTCCATTAAGTTAGACCTGCTCCACTTATCAAACATCAGTTCTATTCTTGTCCTTCAAAATGGAGGATGTGCACACGGCCCTCTGTTCGCACACTTATCAGAAAGATTGTTTACCTCCATCTAAACTATTCCGTCTTGATTCCTGCCGTTTTCCAGGAAGCTCGTGACTCATGCCCTGGGGATGGTGACGAGTGGAGCTGAGGGAATTGATGCCTTCAGACTTGGACAAATTTTGAGGTAAACACCCTCCAAATCAGATTCCTATCTGCAGCCCCCAACTATTAGCCTAATTCACATCAGGTACAAGGTAACAAGATCATCCAGAGGAAATTATTGCAATCTGGCCATATTTCCTATAAACCACTAAACGGATTTATGGCCTCCACATAGCTCATGGCAGAAAGTATTTGTTGATGATCTGCGTAATCACAGAATATTCATTTGGGCAACTGTGGTGCAACAGGAACAGACAGTGCAGCTATTCATAAATCTTTATCTGGTTAGTTTTATCTACTTAACCCGAAATTGCAGGGGTCCGTATGAGGACATTATTAACCTCATAATGAGCCTCGGGTTTGAGCTTGCTTAACTGCAAGCTTGTCCAGAGTAATCTGATCACTATAAGAGAGAACAAGCCTACAGTGTGGTCAGGGGGTGTATATGTGTAGAATGATTAGCCATCATGATAGTCAATGATGATGATGAATGAAAAATGCTGACAAAACACAAACAAAAAAGTACTCCATAAGCCCTGTAATTCATATGCTACATGCACTCATTCTGACAGAATGTAATACACTACAGGAAGTTAGGGGGCGACATGTAGACCTGTCACACTGTTACAAAGCTGTCTGATCACAATCATTTAAACATACTGCAATTATGTTCCTCAGTTGACAGCTTTAGCAGTGATTTGTTTGTCGCAACGAACAGATTTGGGTGCATTTTCATCGGTTGGGCTGATGTAAATGAAAGAAATCTGAAAGCACATATATAAGCGCATATCACAGAGCTTATGAAAACAACAAATGTTCTAACTTCTGTCTGGTTTGAGCCTGCAGAGAGTAATATTTGTTCATTTAAGCTCAAGCTGTGTCTCCAAGTACCAACAGCTGGTAAGCAATATAGCTAATTAGTCACTTTACTTGAATACTTGTATGCAATGAACTGACAATTGAATTGTTAATTGCAGTTATTGATATAGCAATTAATCGTCAGGCCTAGCAGTGTGGCAAAGGGAGAGGAAATAGTTTGATTAATTCATTAATAATAATGTTGGATAGAGATTAATTATGGAAATAAATGTTAGCTAAAACCTTTAGCTGTGCTCAGAATCACTATTTAAAAAATAGTTCACCATATTAACGTGTCAGTCACTGTGTAGTGCTACTTGAATTCTCAATAATACATCTTTTGGTTGTTCCAGGTAGTTCGCCATACAGTAAATGTTACAGATTGAATTATACAACAGCTAGTTTCACCAGGACAATTTGATTGGGAAGCATGTTTTTCATTCTGCTGAGCAGTGAATAGCTGTAGCTAATCGTTACTATACTTCTACTTGTTGTAAGCACATTCGAAAACAGAAAACAGAAACATGAGATAACTTCTTTAGAATATTTGACCTGCAGCTTGTTTGGTCAGATTCTGAAGAAGAGTGTAACATCAGGTCTAAATAAAACTCCAATCCTGTCTTTGCCCCTAAGGAAGCTTTTTTGTCTGGCAGCTGTGACTGAACAACTAAACTAACTGGAATGAACCAGAAACAAACAAGACAAGCTGTGAAATGCTTTACAGACCGACTGGAACAAAACCACATTCAGGTTAATCTGGCAAGTATTTAAAAGCTGAGCTGAACCTGATATTGCAACAGTTTGATGTCTATATCCATAACGCAAAGCTAATGTTGCTAGTTTTTTGGCTGAAGAAACTACCAATATCAAATCACCTTTACCTTTTCTTTCACTTTGCAAAACTGTTGAAGATCATGTGTTTGCATGAATAACATCATGGCTGCGATGATGCACGTAACTCTTTGTGCCTGCAGTTGAATCACAGCCATGATATTATTCACAACAGCACACTCCCTCTTGTGTCATATTGCTTTATAATGAATAAATTAATGAGTGAATCATTACAAACACACTGCTAGTGTGTGTGTGTGTGTGTGTGTGTGTGTGTGTGTGTGTGTGTGTGTGTGCACGCTTTGACTAAACTCTTAAAAATAGAAGTGCCAAAAAGAGTTCTTTGAATCAATGCCATAGTAAAAACAGTTTTGGTTTCCTAAAGAACCTTTCAGTTGAATAGTTTCAACTTTTTTTAAAGAGCCATCTGTTGAAAGGTTCTTCAGGGAACCAAAACTGGTTCCTGTAGGGCTCCCCTCCAAAGAAATCCTGTTGATATCTTTATTTTTATGACTGTATCCATGACCCCATCTCTCACCTCTCCACTTGCACCTCCACGTCCTTCTTCTCAACTCCTCTCTGTCCATCTCCATTGAGCTCCTTCTTGCTGTTGTTGTTTTTGATCAGCTTCAGTACGGGCTCGATCTCCTTCAGCAGGTCATTTCCATCATCCACTCCATTCAGCAGCAGGCCTGGGTGGCCCCCACCCCCCTCCCTCAACAGGGCGTCCTGCCCGATCAAGGGAATTTTGCCATCTTTGGCCTCTTTTCTGGGTGTAGATGCAGACGACAGGTTCTCGATGGCCCTCAGCTCCTTGGCTTGCGTAGCAGGCTGCAGGGGCAAGCAGCGTTCGCAGGGCCTAGACACGGGTTTGGTGATGCGGACGGTCCTGGGCCGACCGTCCCCGCTCAGCGTGGTCTCCAGGTGGGTGGTGAAGCCCTCGGGCCCACGCAGGATCAGCACGGCGTGGCTTTCAGGAGAGACGTTCTTCAGCGTCTCCAGTGCCCGCTCATAGCTCAGGTCCACCAGTGGTTTGTTGTTAACAGCCAACACAATGTCACCCACCTGCACCAGGCCACACTCCTCAGCCGCCCCGCCCCGGATTAGGTCTGAGATGATGACGGGGGGCTTGCACACCCGCTGCTTCACCAGAAAGCCCAGACCACCCACCTTGCGCTTGAAGAGGCGCACAGAAATGATGTTGGGCTGGAGCTGACATACGCTGGGTTCAGAATCCATTATGGTCTGTCCACTCTGTCCACTTACACTGCTCTGCAAATATGCAAACAGAGGAAAGATGTGAGGATGATGGGATCTGAGGGTCTGAGGGTATGAGAGTGAACTTTCAGCTTCATACATACTCTTAAAAATACGGGCTCCTTAAAGGTTCTTGCCATAGATGTACTGTTAAATACTAAAAATGAAGGTTCCTAAATGATTCTTGGCCTGGATGTACATTAGAAAACAATTTTAATTTGAATAGAACCTTTACATCAGGGGTCTTCAAATCTGGACCTTCAACTCAGTTTCCAGTCCCTAGATAAACTGTTGATGTAACCGATTGGCTAGTTAGTATCATCAACAACTGTGATTACAAAATCCAGGACTAGAAACTGGATTTAAAGACCTTACTTTACATGGAGAGGTTCTCTAAAGCTTAAAAAGGTTCTTCACACTCAGATACCTCCTTTACACAAATGATTCTTTAGAGAAACATTGACGTAAAGGTTCTTTAGGGAATCTGTTATTTTATACACCAGAGGTCTTTAAATCTGGACCTTGAATTTGGACCTTTCTGATCCTGAATTTTGTAATAACTGGTAGGTATGACACTAAGTAGCCAATCAGGTCCATCAACTGTTCAGTTAACTATAAAATCCAAATCTAAAAGCTGGATTCAAGGTCCAGATTTGAAGACTTAGTGTTCTTCAGCAAAGGCAGTCAATATATATAGAATTATGACAGCTCAAACAAAAACGTTATGAATGCAAAAATGTTTCTATGCATGGCTAAACTGTTCTTCTCTATGACAGGAAACCTGTTCTATGTGGTTCTTTAAAGTACCTTTAAAGAAACAGTTTAATATAGCACCAAAAATGGTTCTGCTTTTGTTACAAGTCATAGAACCTTTTTTTTATACCTTGTAGAACCTTTTCTGCTATGAACGTATGTTATCTCTCCAAACAGCCTGATAGAACCTTTACTTCTAAAAGTGTAGGAAAAACCTAAAAATCTTTGTTAGACAACATTTACAGGTGTAGGTTCCTCTTCCAACTCACACATCTCTTACAAAAGAGTAAAGAGTGCATCAATTAAAGATTGTTTAGGGAACCAAAAGTGGCTCTTCTACAGCATTGCTCCAAAGAACTCTTTTTAGCATGTATAGGAGTGCAGCATTGCATATCAGCATAATGAGTTTCTAAGTTGTCTGCATAACTAAATGGTTAAGAAGTAAACAAAGTCATACAGAGTGTTTTGATGTGGAATGCTCCAGGCCCAGTTTCCAAAAAGCGTCTTAGTAATAAGGTTGTCTTAACTGGTAGAGTAAGTGTTCATTGTGATGCTCGCTCTACCATTGAAGAATGATCTTAAAGTGCTTTTGGGAAATCCAGCCCTGTTGTAGAGTCAGAATTGTTACAATGGTGTTGATAGGAACCAGACATCTGAAGCATTCAATGACTTTAAGAAAGTCACAGAAAATTATTACATGAAATGTGTTGCACGACACCTGACACATACAATAATTTTGAGAGATGTTTTTGGCCAAAATGCATTTTCAAATCTGCTTATGGTGGAGAGATACATGTAGGATGTTGTAAAGCAAAATAGTACCCAAATATAACGCTTACTTCCAGATGTACCAGTGTTTTTACTATCATCAACATTACATATAAAAACCTATTTGTGTTTTAGTCATTGTGATCCCTGATTCCTTTTAACACCATTGTGAAGAAATCCAAGTTGATTCTCTACAGAGAAAAAATTCACATCAAAGCACTTTGAATGACTTCATTTACATCTCAACCATTTAGTTATGCAGAAGATTTTTTGTTATTATTTTAAAGGATGCCGGGGTGGAAGGGAGGCAGACTTCCCTTTCTTACTGTCATAAAAACATGTATTGCATAGTAGTTACATAATACAAAGGCTTAAGATGAATAACTGGATAATAAGTCTGCAGTATAAGGGGTTAAAGACTCTATTTGTCTCTCTTCTGATTGAAACACCATATCAAATGATAACGTCTGACTAACGTTAATTGAGAAGACTCCTGCAGTGTCTGGGGAAATTTTCCCATTAGGGGGCTTTCTGGATTAACTTGAAAGGCAAAAGATGGAATTATTGTCAGAAAACATGAATTTCCTGGTGCGTCTACATGATTTATTAAGTCTCTTGAAAAAATGAGTAGTACCTCATCCATGAAGTTGACATGAAGCTGTAAATATTTGACTGCATGTGCTGTGGCTTGTGAACGGTTCAAAAAGAAAGTATAGCTCCAATTATTGTGAGATTAAGGGTTAAAAACTTTCCCAGCAAAGTGTGTCACTTTTCGTGACAGTCCAGCACCCATAAGACTGCGTCACAGCTCAGCTTGCGTAATCCTGACCAAATCTAAGCCGCTACCGTGACCCGAGCTTATCTGAACAGAACAAGATGTAGAACTGCTGTGACAATTTTGCCCCCCGTGATCTGAAGTTAGGACATCAACAGTAAATAGCCCACTTTCAACATGCTCTCAGGGCTTTTAATCGCTCGCAAGGCTCCGTGCCATTTGACCTATTGACCTGACCCACTGATGTGACATTGATATGCATGTCATTCATGGCAAACCAATTTAAGCATTGTGAGAAACGCGGTGAAGCAGTCTGGCACCCCCACTGCTGGGAATTATACAAATCAGCCCTCAACCTGCCAGCAGGAGGAAGCGCGGTAAAACCTGCAGTGTGAAATTCAGGACCATGGACAGCGGACGCTCACCTTTAGCCCCACCTCCTTTTACTCTACATTACTAGAATACTAAAATAGACCAAAATACATCGTAGATCTGATACTACAATCAGGATTTACTGCGACACAACTACACCTGTCAAAATAAAGGTTCCTAAAGGGTTCTCAGCTTGGATGTACAGTTCTGGGAAATGCCTTTAATCAGTATTTTAGATTTTAGATTTTGTGGAGGTTCTTTAAACTTTGAAAAGGTTCTTTATGCTTATGCTTGTCATTAAAAGGTGCCTTAGGCTAAAGGTCTATGGTATTTCTCCAGAGAGCCCAACAGAACCTTTATTTTTAAGAGTTTGGGAAAACCTTTAATTATTACAGAACATTTACATCAGGTGAAGATTTTTAAAACTAAAGAGGTTCTTCACACTCACACTTTCATTTAAATCAGCAGTTCTTCAAAGAACAATCAGTTTAGGTGGTTCTTCTATAGCATTGTTGTACAGAACCCTTTTTAGCATGTTTATTTGAAAGAATGGAGCATTGCACAGCAGCAATAATAGAATAGATTTTTCATAATTACTGCATTATTAAATCACTACGATGTAAACAACATCATTCAGAGTGGTTTCATGTAAAATGTTCAGTTCTAGAGTCAGAATTGTTCACAGCGCTGGTGATAGGAACCAGATTTCTGAAGTATTTAATGCCTCTAAAATCTCTCAGACAGTTATTACATGAACTGGTTATAGTTATGCTGCCTGATACCTGAGACAATGTTTTACAATCATTTTGTTAGAGAGGTTTTGGCCTTAAATTCATATACAATAATTTGTTCATGGTGAAGAGGTGCATAAGGCATTGTAACACTCAATAGGTGTCCCCAAAGAATTTTAGATTCTTTTTTCAGATTGACCTCAAATTATTAATATCAACATTATATATAAAAACCCGGAAGACACGTGTATGTTCACTGGTCATTTTGTATAGTAAATAAAATGGCTATTTTTGTGTTGTAGACATTGCATACCCTGGTTCCTATTAACACTACTGTGAAGAGTTTTATTCGGTGGAATTATTCAAAACAGCCCTCAGCAGCCAGCAAGAAGAAGAGCACTAAAATCTAGAGAGTGAAATTCAGGACCACGGACAGCAGAGGTTCACCTTTAGCTCCGCCTCCTTTTACTCTACATTACTAGAATACTAAAATAGACCAAAATGCTTTTTTAATAGCATCACTTTACTACAGCCAAAACATATCACTACACTCCTAAAAACAGATTTCTAAAGGGTTCTCAGCTTGGATTGATCTCAATGAGAGGTTCTTCAGCAAACCAAAAGTGGTTCTTCAGTGGCATCACTCCAAAGAATGCGTTTTAGCCCCTTTATTTTTAAGAGTGCACCATTGCACAGCTGCCTTATTACCCCGTGTGGGGGTCCACACTTCATATTCTACATAGTTGTTTCATAGCTGTTACTGAATTATAAGGCTTAAGATGAATTACTCAATAATAACTCTACAGTCTCTAAGGTAAACACTCCAATAGTCCTTGTTTTCCAAAGGATTCATTCTGGCTATGTAACATTAATTGAACCAAAAATGATTCTTTAGTGGCACTCCTCCAGAGAATCCACACCTTTGGCACATTTTTTTAGAAAATCACCCTTTTTTAATTAACACAGCGGTGAATGAAAAGCAAGTGTTGAATGAACACCTACAGTGTTCGGATGAGTCCTGATGGGCACAAATACACACTGTTAATTCTACTCTGTAGGTGCTATTACACTTCTGTAGGTATTCATTCAGCTTTGGGCTTTTTTTATGTGCATGTGTCACCATTTCTGACTCAGTTCAGTCTTTAGATGCACAAACCATGCTGTTTATGATACCCTCCTCTTTTCTCTACTAAAAGACAAATAATGATGTCGCTAAAACAAAACAACTATGACTTGTAAGCACAAGACGCATTTGTTCCACTTTCTTAATGAGCTCACACGACAATAACTCCAGTGCGAAACAAACAGACCGCATGACCACGACTGTTCGAATAAAGCTCTCTCAAAAGGATGGAACAAAAGAAACAGCAAGTTGGCAGCTTGTTGAAGTGATTTCAGAAGCAATTCAAATGAACACAAATGAACTGCAAAGATATTATGAGGAGACAATTATTCTCTTATTCATTCTCATGACGTACGTCATTGATATTTTAAGGGATTCAGTGATAAATCGCAGCATAAAGACGCAGCTCACGAAGAAGCTAGCAAAGCTTTCTTTTATTAGGGAACACCAGCATGTTTCTGCATGACTAGACTGCCATTCTGCTCTTCTGTAAAGCAACAAGTGATACAAGAAGACATGCCTGTTTCATATGGTGGCAAAAACATCTCATCCTTTCTATTAAAAATTATTTTTTTTCTAAAATTGTTAAGTCCAAAGTTTAACTATGCACAGGCTATCAACACAGCAAAATGTATAATATAGAATAAACACCAGGGCTAGCAGATTAAGACTAAGACTAGACTAGATAGCATCTTTAATTAGCCAGAACCCTATAAGGCTTGCATTTATTCCTATAACTCGCCTTGTTTTCCATTTAGTTGCTATATATAGTAATTATACAGTAATTATACCGTAATTACATAGTAATATACAGTATAGGTAGTATTACATTAACACTACCAGCGCTGAAATAAAACATACAGTGCTGAATTCACAGCTATAATGCTAATTAAGCACCTGCAGTGTTGAAATCCCTCTTAAGACTGGTCATTTGTGTCCAGCTGGACTTCTATAAACTCTGTAGGTGTCAATGCAGCGCTGCAAGACTGTAGGTGTTAATTTCGCGCTAGATATGACACAAATGTTCCCACAAGCAACAAGCGAGCGCTGTGAGAACCGAGTCGACTCCTCGAGAGTGAACGCAGCGCTGTGCATTTCTTTTTGAGCCCCGCTGTAGTTGGTGAAGTGGGCGCGCAACAGGAGAGCGCGCGCACACCAGTTGCTCCGCGTGCGCACACACATAAACGCACGCGCGCACACCAGGCTGCTCAGATGTACAGTGCCACAAATGTACGAGTTGGAAAGAAAGAAAAAATAAAAAGAAAGTAGGAGAGAAATGGAATGAGTTTGTCTTACCGTCTGTCTCGCGCTCAGCTCAGGTTTGTCCTCCGCGCGCTTTGCCTCTGCCTCTGCTTTTGTCCAAACTCGCGTGCCTCTCCCCCCCCACCCCACCAAATACTCCGCCTTCCTACTGAGGGTCGACCGCGAGCTGCTCGGACCGTGGCGCGCGGGAGCCAGTTTTTATGGCCGCGCGCACCGCTGCCTCCTTCAAATGAGGGTGGAGAGGGGGGTGGAGACGGAGCGCGAGCGCGTGAGAGCTTGTGCGTGCGCGCGCGCACGTGTGCCTGTGTGTTTGGTTTGTGCGTGTGCGGGGGTGTGTGTACGCATGAGTGTGTGACAGAAACAGGATTTGAGTAGAGTTGAATGGACTGAAGCATATTTATGGTGTGTGTGTGTGTGTGTGTGTGTGTGCGTGTGTGTGTGTGTGTGTGTGTGTGTGTGTGTGTGTGTACGTGGAGCTTTTTGGCATTGCATCAGTTTTAGGATTGGAATTAAAGTCAAGATCAGGATCAATATATGATCAGGATCAGAGTCAGCACTGGGAGCAGGAACAGTATCCTGATTAGCATCAGAATCGGAAAAAGAATTGGAATCAGGATCGGGAATATGATAAGAATCAGGGTCAAGACTGAAAGCAGGAATGTGTTGGATCAGGGTCAGAGTGGGATCACTATCAGGGTCAGGACTATGATCAGAATCAGGGTCAGGATTGTGAGCAGGAATGGTGTCTGCGTAAGGATTAGAATCAGGATTGGGATCAAGATCAGAAAAATGACCAGGGTTAGGGTCAAGATTGGCAGTAGGAATGGTAACAGGATAAGTATCATAACCAGAGAAAGAATTAGGATCAGGATATCAGGAATATAATCCAAATCAGCATCAAGATAGGGAGCGGGAATGGTTTCAGGATCAGAATCAGAATGAAGATTAGAATCAGAATCAGGATAAGGAATATGATCAGGATGAGGGTCAAGATTGGGTGTAGGATGATATCAGGATCAGTATAAGAATCAGAATAAGGATCAGGATTAGGAAGATAATCAGGATCAGGGTCAAGATTTGGAGCAGAAATAGTATTAGGATCAGAATCAGGATTAGGATCTGGATCAAGATCAAGGTCGGAATCAGGATTGGGGTCAGAATTAGAATCAAGACTGGGATCAGTGTTGGGATCAGTACAGGGATCAGAAAAAGGAATGTGATTAGAATCAAGATTAGAGTCAGGAATATGATCAGGATCAGGATCAGGATTTGGAGATCTTTAGGAAGATCTAAAGAATACCAGATCAGGTTTAGAATTAAGATCATAATTTGGATTGGGATCAAGCTCGGGTTCAGAATCATGATTAGCGTGAAAATGATCATGGGCCTCTTGATTTAGTAAGACTTTCAAAAAATGTTTTAGAGATTTAAAAATGCAGGGCATCCATCATACATTGATGAATAAACAGAGAGAGCGAGCTCCTTAACTCCTTCACTCCTCCACTTCTCCATTCCTCCACTCCTTCACTCCTCCACTTCTCCATTTCTCCACTCCTCAACTCCTTCACTCCTTCACTCTTCCATTCCTCCACTCCTTCACTCCTCCACTTCTCCATTTCTCCACTCCTTAACTCCTTCACTCCTTCACTCCTCCATTCCTCCACTCCTTCACTCCTTCACTTCTCCATTCCTCCACTCCTTCACTCTTTCACTCCTTTACTCCTCCATTCTTTCACTCCTTCACTCCTTCACTTCTCCATTCCTCCACTCCTTCACTCTTTCACTCCTTTACTCCTCCATTCTTTCACTCCTTTCGCCTCCATTCTTTCACTCCTTTCTCCTTCATTCCTTCACTCCTTTACTCCTCCATTCCTCCATTCCTCCACTCCTTCACTCTTCCATTCCTTCACTCCTTCACTCATTTACTCCTCCATTCCTCCACTCCTTTACTCCTACATTACTCCACTCTTCCATGCCTTCACTCCTTCAATCCTCCATTCCTCCACTCTTTCACGCCTTCATTCCTTCACTCCTTTACTCCTCCATTCTTTCACTCCTTTACTCCTTCATTTCTTCTCTCCTTCATTCCTTTATTCCCCATTCCTCCACTCCCTCATTCCTTCCATTTCTCTACTCCTTTACTCTTCCATTCCTTCGCTCCTTCATTCCTTAATTTATCCACTTCTTCACTCGTGCCCTCACTCACAACCAAGCATTTAATCTGCTCAAACACACACACAGTGTTTCCGTGAGGATATTTTCACTCTGTGACGTGAAAATACACACACACACACACACACATGCACGCACACACACACACACACGCACACACACACGCACACACACACACACACGCACACACACACACATACACACACAAAGGAGCTCATAGCCGCGCGGCCTGCCGGTCCGGCCGTGTCATTATGTCAATCACTTCCGACTTGAGTGCTACCATCTGCCTCCCTAATGAATCCAGCTCACTCTCTCTCCTTCTCTCTCTCTCTCTCTCTATCTATCTCTCTCTGTATCTGTCTCACTACCTCTACTTTATCTCTGTCTCTCTATCTTTAGCCCTTTCTTTCTTTCTTTCTCTCTCTTTATATATTTTTCTGTTTATTCTTCCCTCTCTCTCTCTCTCTTTCTCTGTATATATCTCTCTTTCTACACACACACACAAACACACACACACACTCATACAAAACACACGCACGCGTACAAAAAGAGACACAGAGAGGGATATATATATATGTATATATATATATATATATATAGCTTTAATTGGTCAGGTGTGACCAAAACATTATCTGTTGTGTCTAAATTTTACCTCTGGTTGCCATGGAAACGTTGTTTCTTTGCATTTGTTTTTATTTTTCCTCCACCAGTCATTTCTACAGTATCTTTTTTCTTACAGCAACAACCAGCATGTTATAATTTTACATTTACAATGTAATAACTTTAAACAGATTTAATGATTATTTACTATATAAATCGTGATAGTTACCATTATTAAATAATCTGGTTCCATTACAGTCCATATTGTCATTTCTTAACCAGAAGAAGAAGAAAAAAAGCTGGTCAGTCTGTGTATTACTGAACTGAACTGAATTTATTGTAAATACAAGATGACAACAGCCAACTGTACATTGCATTTAAATGAATGAAACGACACTGTCATTGGTATTATTTTTATATAGATAGATTTCTATATGTAATATACTGAACACACATGTCATATTTTATTTATTATTTGGAATATAACAACATTTTGCAGTGAATTCTATTATTCAGAGCATCCCATCTTCATCTCAAAGGTTCCTTTGTCACCACACATTTTTCAATTGTCATTTTAATGCAGTGTCTCAATCCTAATGGCCATTATGGACCAATAGAGCATCTCTGTACATCCATTATGAAGACAATGTAATGTTCTCTTACTGTATGTTATCATAAACCACAAACCAGCTTAACAAACAGACAATCTGCTCAAGGCTCTCATCAATCAATAAGGTATTTAATCATAGTGGTAACTCCAGATTTACATCTATAGGATAGATGTAGTTTTTAGGGTGACCTTTCTGTTTCCTGCACTGCAAAGTATAGTACAGCAAAACAAAATCATAGATCTCCACTTCTTTAGGGTACGTATAAGCACTTTTACATAAACGTGCATAATCTCGAGAGATAGCTCTGAGAAAGGGAATGAATGAAAGTCCAGCACAGAATAATAAAGCCAAGTATCAGCACTTCTTTTGTGTTCGGAAATCAACATGACTAAATTGTGCGTCTTCCAGAGCAGTGTTATATCTGCTTCTCCCATGGCTCTGGCTGCAATTCACAAAACCGCTACCACACACTTTCCTCAGCCTCTAAAGGGCAGGCTTGTCATTTGTTGTGAGGCACAAAGCTCTGCGCTTCAGCAATGAAACTCATCTTGGAGGTTAAAAATAGGTTCAGTGTGGTTAAATAGGACACTGGCAGTGTCCTATTTAGGCCCATTTAGGACCTTTTAGGTCTTTTTCATGTCTTCAAGTTTCACAGTTCGTTATGATGGTGAGCACAACTAGATACAGCATTGTGTGTACTCATCAAAACAGTGCTGTGTTTTTGTCTAGTTCCTTTCAAAGAAGCTTCAGTTAATACCCAGCATACTATGAATTATGTGGTGTTCACAGAATAACAGCCAGCAGTACGTTCCAAAAAATGTGGAACAGGGGCAACAAAAGGCTGGTAAATGCTTAAAAAAACACCTGGTGGTTAATTGGCAACAGGTCATCAACATGATTGGGTATAAAATGAGCATCTCAGAGAGGCTGAGTCTTTCAGAAGTAAAGATTAGGAGGGGTTTACCACTCTGTGAAAACTTGCACGATCAAATAGTGCAACAATTCAAGAATAAAGTTCTCAACATAAAAATAGCAAAGAACAGTATTTGCTGGCTGTGATCTTTAGGGCCTCAGATGGCACTGCATTAAAAACAGACATGATTCTGTAGTGGAAATCACTGCATGGGCTCAGAAACACTTCTGAAAACCGCTGTCTGTAAAAACAGTTTGTCTCTGCATCCACAAATGCAAATTAAAACTCTTAAATGCAAAGAAGAAACCATCTATAAACAGTATCCAGAAACGCTGCTGCCTTCTCTGGGCCTGAGCTCATTTAAAATGGACTGAGGGGAAGTGGAAAAGTGTCCTGTGGTCTGACGAATCAACATTTGAAATTCTTTTTTGAAATCATTGACACTGAGTCATCTGGGCTAAAGACCACTCAGCTTGTTATCAGTGCACAGTTCAAAAGCCAGTATTCATGATAGTGTAGGGCTGCATTAGTGCACATGGCATGGGTGACTGGAACATCTGTGAAGGCACCATTAATGCTGAACAATATATACACGTTTTGGCAACATATGCTGCCATCCAGACGACGTCTTTTTCAGGGAAGGCCTTGCTTATTTCAGCAAGACAATGTCAAACCACATTCTGCATGTAGTACAGCAGCATTGCTCTGTATTAAAAGAGTCCAGGTGCTAAACTGGCCTGCCTGCAGTCCAGACCTGTCACCACTGGAAACATTTGGCACATTATAAAATGAAAAATACAACAAAGGAGACCCTGAACTGTTGAGCAGCTAAAATCCCATATCAAACAAGA